TAGTCGCATAAAAATTTTTGCGGGTAATATACTTTCTCGACACAAGGATCTGACATACCGTCATCATTCGAGCGTAGAGCGCGAAAATGTGATCCGCCCGATAAAGTGGGCCAATTTAAACTAGGTTCCGACATCTTATCAGCTCAACTGTAATTTCAGAAGTTTATATTGTTCTCATCTGACTTATAAAAAATTTTGACCAATATTCATACTCGCACAGAGAAAGGTGAACTCAATTTTAAGAAAATTTTTGATGTCATTTTTATATAACTTTTCCTTTTCTTTATAACGCAGAAAGTCTTAATTTAAGAGGAACACTATGTGGATAACAAATGTGTATATAGTGTCTGATTAAAATTAGCCTTTTCTACTTAAATTTATTTAACAGTTTTATGTATGTTGATTGCAACTCAAATTATTGGCGTGTCTGATTGTAATTTACCTTTTCTACTGAAGTGCGCAAAGATCTTTTTTTCACAATTTCTATTATATTATTGTTTTTACATTTTGATTTTATTTTTTTCAATTTATTGCAGTCAAAAAATTTAGTGTCCGATAATAACTGATGAACTATTCTATTAAAATTCGTGAAATTTTTTTTTGTTTCTCCTTTTTAAGTTTTGAAACTTTATTCTTTCAATTTAAAAATAATTTAAATTGAAAAGAAAATAATTGAATTCAAATAATTTATTTTATGTAAATATTTATTTAATCACATATATGATGATTTTTCAAGTATATAATTGATTATTGAAATCGAATTTATTTTTCAGCGAAACAACAAAATAGAATTTGACTGTCTTACATCGACTGGTTTTTTCTACTAAAGTTATCGAGGAATTATTTTTAAAAATAATTTTAATAGTTTAAAAAAAATTATAATTTTATTCTTTTCAATCAATTTGATAAAAAGTTAAAATCTGTTTTGTCTGACTATAAACCATCTATTCTACTGAAAATTCACTATAGAACAATTTTTGTAAATGAGAATTTTTTTAATTGTTTGTTTCTTAATTTGTGTGAATAAAAAACTAATAAGTTAATAAAAAATTTCATTAAGAATTTCATATAATTTTATTGAATTAAATAAAAAAGAATCTATAGGTGTTATTTTCATTCTAAAAATCAATCGTATGGGTTTAAAATTTTTTTTAAAAAAATGTATAACAATCAAAACTTATATTTTTCATTTTTTTTAAAAAATAAAACTTCTAAAACGGTCAAAAACATTTTTGTCTAATTTTGATAACGTAAAAACAGTTTTAGATTCTAAACAATAAAAGGAAAAAGATTGTTATAGATAACAACGAAAATTTCAATAGGTTAAAATGTCAATGTCACCTCCCTTTAAAAAGTGAATATATTCTTGTTTCAATAGGATAACATAAGAGGTTATAAGAAGATAAATGTTCCTCTCAATATGAGATTTTTTATCCTTTGATAATATTTCTCCAATTATTTTTTTATATTTTTTTAGTTTAATGTAAGGGGAATATACTCAGGGTTGGACACTTCGCTTTTCTTAAAATAAAAACACTAGCGCCATCTATGCACGGACGTGGCGAAGCTTTTCGTAGTGAAACCTAACTTTTTGTGCCATTACACTTTTGGAGAATCAAAAGTAGCGTCTGCTGTGACTTCGGTGCATTTGTAGGAACGAAAAAAGTTTTTTGAGCGATGTGATTAAACATAAAAAATGAATAAAGAAAACAAGAAATCGGTAAGGTAAATTTATTGAATGTATTGTGAGGCTCATAATTGAAGAAAAAATGATGTGAAAAATCGAATTGCGAAACATGTCTGGTTATGATTAGCACAATTCGAAAATGTTACTTCTACTTAGGGTTGGACAGTTTATACACTTAGGGTTGTACACTTTGTTAATTAGGAATTTGACACAATTTATAAATAAATATACAAATAAATATTGACTCACACACACAGCACATATTCTGCCAAAGATATTAGAAAAATAATAATAACGTTAAAAATGAAAAAATGAACTTAAAAATCGTTTACAGTAACGTTATAAATAATATTAATTGTCAACTATAAATAATAATAATAATGTAAAAATGAAAAAATTAACATAAAAAACGTTTTCAGTAACGTTATAAATTTTATTTTATTTTTTTAACCATAATTCGCTTCGATTTTCACAATTGTAATGACCAGAACTTTTTAATTTTACACCAATTAATTTACGATCTTCAGCAAAAGTGTTTCTGTTTTGTACATCTTTGTGACAATAGAACTCAATTAAGTAAATTTATTTTTTTTAAAAAGATTATAAACAAAGTCCAAAACGGTGGCCACCACTGAGTAATAAAATAAAAAAAATTTGTTTTGAAAAAAATAAAATTTATTTCATAAAAATAAATATTTTTATTTAACTCTGAGTTAAATATTTGTTTTTTCATTATGTGTAAAGTCGAGGGAATGATAAAATGAGATGGAAAGTGATTTTCCAAGAGCAACGTAAATTTAAACGGGACAGTTTAAAGTAAATTGTATAAGAATAACACTATCCCAACAAATGAGAGAATAATTGCGTGTTTAATTTAAATATAGACAAATGTTTACAATATAAATATTGTATTTATTTTCAATTATTTATTTATTTATATAAAAACAATGCATTTATCAAATTTACAACAAAGTTTCACATAGACAGATTTTTCTAATAAACACAATATCAATTTTTTATATCTCTAATATAATTATTTGTCTTTTTGATCTAGATTAACCAATGGCTTTTTTTCTCTACTTGTTTTTCATCAACAGTAAAATAGAATTTAGTTTTTATATCTTCCTTAGTTTTTTTTATATATATTCTTTTCCCTTTTCTTGTTATCATGGAATTGACTACTTCTTGGATTAAGATATCCGGTATACTTTCATTTTTCTATGTATAAGAAGGGAATACGGCCAGTGTGATTCCTTGAAATTTTTATTACTTTCTTCCAGTCAAGGACAAAACATTGTAAATTGCTCACTTTTCAAAATAAATGTTTGTTATATTTTCAAATAAATTGTGGTCGACTTTTCTGCAATTTGTATTTCTATACCAAGGTAGTAAACGGTGCAAAAAGAAAACATAATGTGATTATACAAATTACATTATTGATTGTTTCTCAAATTGAAAATGTTTTCTTTAAAGCAAAAAACATTTTCATTAAATATTTCTTTATTGATATTATTAAACCATTTATTTCAATTTAAAAAAAAAATGTTCTTAAGAAACTACATTTTCTTTAAAAACATTTTTCTTTTCCTGTTGTTCAGTTTGAAGAATTCTTCTTTGAATCGAATTAAATTTCTTAATTAAAAAATTTTTTTAAATTAGGTTATTTTATCTTTTAAATTAAGAAATTTTTTTATAATAAATCTGTTTAATATTTTTTAAAAATTGTTTTTTAAATTATAAATAAAATTTTTTATTTTTTAACTTTAAAAAACAAGTTATAAAATTTTGTTTAATAGACGAAAGGAATTTTCTTTAATTATAAACTTGAACTTGATTAAAATATTCTTTGCATAAATTTTTTTTATATCATCTGTATATGTCGCTATGGTGAAAGGAAGCAATTTAATCTGTATCATAATTATTAAATGGTACTTTTAAATGAGTTGAAATATATTTTATAATGAACCTTTTTTTATAGAAAGTATAAGGTACATGAGAATGAAGAAAAAGAGCATGAAATTACTTTCTAGTGGCAATTATCCAAAATTGTGACTGTTTGCTTTTGATCTTAACTTTATATAAAATATATATAATATGATATCTCTATTATTACGTACCGCACTCTTATATGTAGAGTAAAATTTTGCTCTTACAATAGGATGTAAAACATATTATATATTGTATAGTGTTACTAGGTTATTCTTAAATTTTTTGACCTTAGTTTTAAAAGATTTCATTGTTTCAAAACTTCTTTTACTACTTTCACTATATTTATAGGACATGAAAGTGGAAACGATCGAAATGACAATAAAAAAAATAGTATTGTTTATTTTATCCGCATCTTTAATTTAATAATCTATTGTTCCACTGAGTAAATTCACTAAATTTCGTTTACAATGTGCTAGAAAAAAAAAGATTTTCGCATTATTTTCAATTGTAAAGAAAAATAACAATTGACATTAAAAATTCGTAAACAAAAGTATTTGTACATCTTAAAAACTTTAACTCTAATTCTCTTTAATTATTAAATTATAAAAATAATTTTTTATTTAACTATAAAATTACTTTTTGTTATCAAAAGAAAATTTGCTTATTCACCCAAGTTACTTTTGTAAAAATAATTATTTTTAAAAATATTTTTTTACTATAATTTTTTAAATGTAATAAAAAAATACGAAAAAGTGCAAATAATATAGTAAAACGAATCGAAAATCAGTGGTAAAAATTGTCCCGTCTGACTTACATTGACCTTTTCCACTTGTGAAAGGAATAAATCGCCAAAAATCACATTCCAATAAATAAGAATCTTTTCAAAATTTTATAGCAATAGTTCAAACACCTTTATATAAAAAAAAAAAAAACTATTTCTCTCGTTTATTTATAGGCGATGAAAAAGATGTTCGCTTTTAATTTACATCAGTGAAACCGTAACAAGCAGTCGATTTATTTCTCCAAAGCTGCGCTACCAACTACTTAGGCTCGTTTCCAAGCTGAGCAGCTAATTCACAAAGTTGTTCGATTTTCCGATGACTTGTGTTTATATTATAAAATATAAAGTCGACCGAGCGAGCACCTTTCTTTATTGTCGATGCCTTTGTTTTTTGTAAATTTGACTGAGATTCGAATTCTCCGCTCTATTTGACGCTCTCCCCTACCAAGTTTGCTGCACCTCTTTGGATGGATGGTACCTCTCCACCAAGTGGTGGCCGCAAAAGTTGCTATGCTCGACTATGGAGAATGTATGAATGTCGAAAGGCAAAAAGGAAAAAGGACCGGTAGATCTTTCCTATATATAGTGCAACTATCCATTCGTACATTCAGTACAAATCACGCGACCCGTCAAACTAAATCTCGTCGAGGGTAAAAAAAAAGAAAAAAAAATATTTTTTTCCAACTCCCCCCCACCCCTTTTTATTTTATCAGTGTCCTTCGACGAGAGTGATTTTCAAAAAAAAATTTTTCACTAAATTAAAAAATATCTCTTTGAAAAAAAAAATAATGATATTCAATCAAGTGCATGGTCTAATGTTGCCCTTAATTGTTGTTGTCGTTTTTTCGACATTTGCTCGTGCTGAAATTGAACATGGAACGGTCAGTCAATCAATTGAGGATACACCGGATAATTCGGCTTCGATTTTGAGCAAAGATTGTGGTAAATCTTATAGTGCCAAATGTCTTAAGCTGGATGTGGTGTCGTTTTTTGATCGGCTTTCCGAACAAGATGATTTGGGTACGTGATGTGTGTGTGTGTGTGTGGATATAATATGCTGATGATTTATTTAAATGCTCGTGGACCAATTAATTCAGTGTGATCAATAATTTTCTACATCGTATTTTTGAAAAATTATTATTCAACAGTTTTGAACACACCATTTTTTACAATATTTCTTTTTAATACTTAAGCATTTTTTATATTTTTTTTTAATCAATTAAACATTTTTTGTTAATTAATAATTGTAATAATAATTAAATTTTTGGTTTTTGACTAAAACAAATTATAATAAACCATGTAGAAATTTTGCATCGGGCCAGAATGAAACGTCATATATATATTTTTTTAATTAAAACATACAAATGGAAGTTTAACAAATTTTTTTTAATTAAAATAAACAAATGAGAATTTATTTAGATATTAAAAAAAAATTTAAACTTTATAAAAATCGATTATTTAAACAAATATGAGAAATTAAAACTAATACCGTAATTTTCTATTGCGGCGCCTTTTTGTATCAAATTAGGTGACCAAAATTACGTGTATTTTCAAGATACTTTGCCCGCCGAAATTGGAGCCAATGGAAATCTTAAAAATGTTTGAATTGCGGCGCGAAAAAAAATTTGATCTTAAATAATTAAATTAATAATTATTTAAATGTGCACCTTTATAAGTAATTGTATCAAAAAAAGATTGAAATAATTTTTTTTAATCATTTGTCAACAGTTATATTAAATATAATAGTAATAATAGTTATTTTTTATGAACGCGCCGTAATTGGTACACTTACCCTAGTTTAAACTAAAAAACTTGGAAAATATTTTCTATTTATAAAAAGAACTTAAAAATTTTGCCAATATTTTTTTTGGAAAAATATTCTAATAGAATATATAGAAATAAATTTAAAATTTAATTTAATATATAGAAATATTAATCAATAATTTTTCTAATAGTGTGAAAAGAATACATTAAAAAAAATTTTTTCAGCACAAAATTGTCATGCAAGTATTTTAAAAATTTATTTTTCTTCGAGAATTTTAGTTCAAAATAGTAAAATTAAGTAAATGGGAAAAAATAATTATTATTTAGTAATATTTTTCTTTTTTACCAAAGTTTTAGTAAAAGATTACTAAAAATTATAGTAGGAAACTTCACTAATTTAAATCAGTGAAATTAGTGAATTCTCACTAATTCAAATTTAAAGTGGAGCTTTGATTCTTTTTCAAATGAAAAAGTAAAAAATCTCATCCAAAATAAAATGAAAATTATTTGTTATAATATTAAAAATCTATCAATGGTTTACAAGAAATTACATTACATTAATTTAAAATAAAAAAAGAGAAAAAAATAATTGTCAACAGAATAAAGTAAATAAATAGAAAACATATAATAAAATATAAAAAAAACTTATTCAAAATAATAAAATTTCGAAAAAAATTTTTTATTTTAATTCTCAAAATTTATTGGAAATTAAGTAAAAATTAAAATTTTTCAGGTCTTCTCCCCGGAGTCTCTGTTGTCAAGGACGCAAGTACAACTGAAATTCCGGCGGCAGAAATGATGGCTAATTTAGCGAGAGATTTTCCTCACGACTCTGACAAACGATTGGATGCATATTTAATACACAAAGTGGGTAGTTATCTCAACAGTCATGCAATCTCCATAAAACTCTTCGATCCGCGAACGTTCGAAGCTGCAAGAAGCTTTAACGATGAGGCGCTTAATCGACTGGGACTAACTAGCGATAAAAATATCGAAGCTGGTGAGAATTCAAACATAATAATTCAATAACAACTGAAAATTAATTTCAAACTTTTCCAAAATTTTTTTTAAAATGACAATTTTTTTTCAAAGAAAACACAAAAAATAATAATTATTTTAACAATTTATTTTAACAATAGAACATATTTTTAATTTTAAGTTGTTTCATAAGTTGTTACTATCAGAAAAAATTTATTAAAATTAAATCCAAAAAGGTTCGTTAAATTTTTTCTATAATTTACAATTGAAAATACATAAGTGTACCAAAATTCAGTCCTCTAGGTCAAAAATTATTAACTCTAGATAGATCATCAGTTTCTTTCAAATTTTGCGTTTTTTAAAAAAAATAAAATTCTATTCAAATAAATTCGAATTAGATTTATTAAATTTTATTTCATCTCTTTAGGGCAAACAAAAATAAAATTCTAATCTTTAACCCATCGTTTTCGATAAAAACTCCATAAAAAAAAAAATTTACGTTTTCAATATTTTTCCTGTAATTTACTTGTTACAATAATAGTTTTCGTAAACAAAAACCAAATAAAAATTACTAAAAAAAATTATAAATTTTTTTTACTATTTTAAAAAGTAGTGAACACACTTGTCATTGATTTGAATTTAAACAGGAAGGCGATAGAAAGTCGAGAGAATAAAAATAGATTCCAAAAAAAGTGGCAATGATTCACTTGATTTATTTTATTGGCAAAAAATATTAAGTCCATCTTATTAAATACAGATATTACTGATCACCATTTACAAATTGTTTCATTCATTTATTTTTGCCACTTTCAGTTATAAAATAAAATTAATGAACTGAATCAATAAAAAATTGATTTTTGTCTGGCAAAATTCATTAAAAACGCAAAACAAAAAATAAAAACATTATCACGGAGAAAAAAGAAGTGCTGTGGTTACTAAAAATTAAATCCACACACACAGAAAAAACCTTGTCTCATTTTTGATGCAAATCAAAATGAGCCAATGCTAAACGACATAGACAGTGGCGCCACCAACCTGGTTCATTTTTGTTGCACATCAAAATGAGCCGCCTACACGCATCATTCTGGGTTCAGTTTTTTTCTGTGTATTAACAAAGATTTGATCCGTCTAATACAATTTGTTCAGTTTCTACGCCTTCTAAAATAATCGATAACAGATTTCCATAGGTCATATCACCAGTTTTATTTGCATTAAAATTTGTGAAACATGCAGCTTCTGAATCAAATTCTTTGACCTGAAGCCAAAGAATTATTTTGAGTTGAAATTTGTTGTTAAATAATATTTAATATACATTTTGTATTTTTTAATGTTCCGTTATGTTCAATAGTAACCGTGTATAACTTACTGATAAACGACGAAATTGTCTCTTCATTCATTCACCACACTTGCAATAGATTTCTCACTTTAACCGGATTCATTATTTAACAGCACTTTGTTATTTTTTCTAAAAAAACTAATAATAAAAGCAAAAGTGGCACATGTGCCAGAAACAAACGATGCGACGATCTGCACTTGTTCCATGTGCTCCTGCACTCTTATTCCATGTGACATGGAACAATAAACTTGTCAGTTGAACAAATCCGGATTGTTCCATCAGCAATCGACAGAGAGTTTGGTTTTGCAACTGTACGGAATTACAAACTGAACAAAATTGACAACAAAAAATTTGTATTGTTCTTAAAACAACATACATTTGTACTGACAACAATCCGAATTGTAATATTAACATTTCGAATTGTAATATCAACAAATCTACTGACAACAATCCAAAAATGGTTTGCACAACAATCATATTTTTCTCCATGTTTATGCTTGCAGAGAAATTGAAGCAATGTTACAGTTTAATATATAGAAATTCAGGAAATTATGTGTGTTGGAAAATGATAGTAATAATTAAATGTCAATTAAAATTTTGAAATTACAGAAAAAGAGAGTAATATTATCTTATATTTTTTCAGGTCGTGGCAAGAAAGACAAGGGTATGGGTAGTTTAATGGCTGGATTGATGATGATGAAAGGTACTTTAGGTGCAGTTGGATTTGGTGCACTGGCACTTCTCGCTGGCAAGGCTTTAATGACTGGCTTAATGGCATTGATGCTTTCTGCAATCATTGGATTAAAATCATTGGCAAGTGGTGGCGATAAAAAAACCACCTATGAAATTGTCAGCAAACCAGTTTATACACAATCGCATTCACATAGTTCAGAGGAACATCATGGCCATGGTTATGGACACTCTGGCTTTGGTAGATCGTTGGATTTCGCTCAGGATGCCGTTCATGAAGCTGTACGAAAATACGGAAATGTTCGCGACCGCAGATCGCTTTTGTAATGTAAATTAATTCTTTTTTTTTTGTCAATTTATAGATATACCAAATGATCAAGCTACGATCAAATCTCACGCAGAGCTTTCAATACTTTAATTTATTTTTTAATTTTTATATATATTTTTTTAATACTTTTTTCATCTTTTTTTAAACTGAGAAAAAAAATTGAATTGATTTAAATAAAAATTATTACTTGGTTAAAAAAAATATTTATTTAATGATAGTCAAGTAATCGATTATTTGAATCAAGGACATTTTTTTCAGTGTAATTTTAATTTTGTTTCTTTTTTTATTTTTTACTTTTCTTTTTTCCTTTCACTTTTCTGTCTTCTGCTCATTTTTATTTCTTTTCTACACATTCTCATTCACTTCACTCTCTCATCTTCTTTCTCAATTTCTGTGATCTCCTACTTCCTGAAATTCTACATTTGTATAGCTCTTTCTCTCTTCTCTCTCTCTCTCTCTCTCTCTCTTGGCTGTCGTTTCTTGAAAGATTGCTCTGAATTATTTTCAAATTGTTGCTATTATTATTATTATTATTATTATTTTATTATTTAGTTGTGTAAGTATTTATTGTGAATTACTGTTCATATCAAATGTACAACTGGGTGTACTGATGGACGAGAAGATGTAATTTTTTTATTTATATTAGATTATAAATAAAGATACTTTTTAAAGAACATTTTTTGTCTTAGTGAATCTTGTTTTTACAGTAGAATACAATCATTTCATATCGAATTATTACTTCAGTTTCTTTAAACTGAATAAAATTAATTTTTCAATTTAAAATTGACTTTTGTACTCCCTAAATTTAAATTAGTGAAAATTTCTACTAATTTTTAGTCATTTTATACTAAAATTTTAGTAAAAAAATTTTCCTAAATCAAATAGTAATATTTTATAAACAATTAGTGTGAATTTCTATTACTTTTAATTAGTGAACAAAACTAATTCAAAACAGATTAGTTGCCATTTAATTTTTTTAAAATAAAAGTATATATAATTATAATGAGATACAATAATTAGTGCTTGAGAAAAGATTTTTCTGATCAGGTTATATTTTTATTTTTGAAAAATTCTTTAAGGGCTAAAAAAAGTTATGTTAATTTTTTTCAGGTTTATATTATACCTAAATATTGACATGTTTTTAATGACTAGGTTACAAGTTTCTTTAGACAAATATTTAGAGTTATAAAATTGATCTTTGTGAGAGAGTATCCTGAAGCAACCATTCTCAGAAATAAAGGAAGTCAGCATTCCACTGCAACAAGGAATGTACAGGTTATTACAAATTTTTATAAGGAGTTAGGAAGAATTTAGATAAAAAGTATTACTTCTTAAAAATTTAGATTTACGATGTATATATATGAAAAAGGACCACTGCTGTATTCATAAATATGGACAGAAACGGCTGGTACCAGATGTACACGGAGAGAAAACAAGGCTACGATAACCGGAGACCCAAGTAGTAAATGACTGAGTGACTCAAGTAGTAGAATTAAAGTCAACACAACTTGTGTCCCAAGTAGTTTTTGCCTGGAAAACACATGTATTAAAAGCTTTGTTAAAACTTAGATGGTAAGGTAGGGAGCGCATGAATTAAGCTAGAAAATTCAAGCATTTCCTGCCTTATCCTCTGAGTTTTAACCTGGGCCGGGATTACGACTAGCAATGCTGCTAAGTTAGCAATTATTGTTAATTAGCAAATATAACTTAACAAAATTTCATGACATTTGTAGGAAATTTATCCCACAATCACATTTTATTGCTATTTGGTAAAAAAAAATTAAGTACAAGCTTATAAAATAGAAATTAAAATCAAGTTAACCTAAAAAACGAGCAAATTGACACCAAATTTTTGTCAAATTGCTCGGATTGATAGCAGTGAGCATGAAAACAATTGAAAGATTTCATGCAACAGAAATATATTAAACCATAATAAAAAATAAATTATAAATAATGAAATGTTTCTCGAATATATTATGATTATTTATTAAATAAAATAATTATATTAATAACAAGATTTATGAAATGAAGTGTTTAAAGTCTTTTTTTGAATTAATATGAAATCAAATGTTTCTATTCTTATCAATTAATATAGTTTTTAAGTGTGTATTTTTCTGTAAATAATTCATAGGTTAACCTAAATCTGTCAAATGATTAGAATTTTATCGAACACCCGGTAGAAATATTTTTTTCCAGCGTGAATATAACTGACATTGCCAATTAGCAGTTTGCTAACTTAGCAGTATTGCTTGTCGTAATCCCGGCCCTGCTGGCTTTTAATGCATCTTGTGTTTGCCAGGCAAAAACTATTTGGGATCTAAGTTGTGTTGACTTTAATGCTACTACTTGAGTCACTTAGGCAGTTTCTACTTAGGTCTCCGGTTATCGTAGCCTTTTTTCTCTCTCCGTATAGCTTATAAGCTCACAGAAAGGTTGACGGGTCTTGGTGATGACCACAGGTCCGCAGTTCAGTTGACCGTGATGAAAACCCAAATAATTAAATTCTTCCAAAAAAAGGAAAAAGAGATAATTTCCAAATATTATTACCCAAATTCGATACAGTTTTAGAGTTAGCGTAAAAGCATTATAATGACGTGAAAGCAATTAAGGGATAATCTATGAATATTGAACTAGTTAGTGAGTCAGACTACTATTGCGACTATAATATTGATTTTATACAGAACAAAGTCAAGAAATTTGGCAGCTGCAAGGTTTAGCAACGTTATGGTGACGTGACAGTAGCATTTTCTAGACATCAAGACATCATAAATATCTTAATATCTTGAAAGCGCTACCAAAACATTTGAAAATAAGATACTTTTTTTGCAGAGTATGGTCTTAAAAAATATGTGGTAAAAATTTAGCAAGGATCGGTTGAGTAGTTTCGTAGATTTCATCAACATGCAGTCGAAAAACGTTGTTTTGAGAAAAACGCGTTTAAAGTTTGACAGTAGCGGATTGACTTGCTGAAATAGCAAAATAAAAGTTACACAAAAGTGCAGTTATACTGCTCCGACCTTTATAACATTTTAGTATGATACTTTTAAAAATGTATACTTTCAAAAAATGGAATAAAAAAAAAATTTATTTTTTTTGTTTAAAATGGGTAAACCCCTTAAACTAATAAATCAACTGAAAACACGTGGTTAATTTTCTTCCAAGTGACAATCGTCACTATTTTATCGAACTATAAAGAAAAAGTTGTTTAGTGGCCATTTCAAAGTTTCAATAGCACTTAAATAACAGGCCATGAGATTTTAATGTCAGCAACTGGTAATTTTTTTTGTCCTGTTAAATTTAGGGCTCATGAAAAAAGTATAATTTCACGCCAAAGAATACTCTTATAATTGCGCGCTTTGCACATTTTAAAATTTGTGAACCACTTTTTCACAAAACGATCTTTTATATTTCTTTAAATACGCACAAAAAAATTAAACAAATAATAAATTATAAGTAAATAAATTATAAAACAATTATAAAAATTGAAAATATAAAACAAAAAAAGTAAGAAACATTTTTAAATTAAATAAGATATTAAAACTATTGACAAAAAAAATTGCAAAAGAAATATTGAAAGAGTTTAAATAAATGAAAGAAATAAAAAGAGACAGGAATTTGAAAAGCAAGTGAAAATAGTTAAAAGAATGAAAAAGAACAATTTTCCTCTGTAATAGGAACCAAAAGTTAATTATTGAAAAAAAGTAGGGACTAATTTTAATTATCTAATTGGAATTCATATATAGTTTTTGATGAAACAAATTTAAACTGCAGTATATCAAATGAAATTAATTGTATTTGTAACTTAATTTTATGAGGTGATAAATATAGATCTTTGAAAAGTGGGTCTTGGTTTTTCAATGATCATCAAACGCCTTAGACTATTATTAAAAAAAAAACAAGAAAAAATAATAAATAAACAAAAAAAATTGTTATCATCACTCAGGATATTGTAGGATCTGGGGCAAGTGAAAGGTCCTGATGGAATTCAGTAGCGGAAGAGTTTCATTTCCATAAAGTTGACATTAACTTTTTTACATGAATTCCAATATTTTTCCAAACTTTTCTGCTGAACTGTTTTTTTTTTTTTTTATTGCCTTCTGTGTACTTTAAGACTTTTCTCCATACTTTATAGACGAATTGCTTTCTAAATTCCTCAAGTTTTATTCACTTTTATTTTTATTATAACAAATATCCAATGAAAACAGTCATAAAAATATAATTTATTTGTTTGTTTCAAACAACATAATTATTATCTACAATTGTATTTTAGAACAATTTATTCCAAAAATAATTGATTCAACAATGAAAAGTTAATTATTAAAATTAGAAAGAAATTTGCATTTTCTTTTCTAATTTTGTAAAATTTTTAGTTTCTGTTTGTTTTTATTTTTAGCTTATATGTGTTCTTTGATCTGGCTCAAATTTTTGCTTTATGTTTGAATCATGACCTTGACATATTTTGATATTAAATTTTTGAAGTTTTCTTTACAAGAGGAAATATTTAAAATTTTATTTTAAATAATAAAATAATAAAGCAAATCCGGATTTTGACAAATGGATCAAGACCTCGTTTCTTATGAAAAAAAAAAAAATGAAAAAAAGCCGACAGAAATCCGTTTGTAAATTAACAAGAGAATTAAGAACCAAGATCAAGACAAAGAAGGTCTGCGAGTCAATGTATAATAACAACAGGGAGAAAATAAATAAAATTTTAACTCGTTTTATTCAAACCTAATCATTAGGTTATCCATTTTGTTGAAGACCACGTAATAACAGTCGTGACTTGAATGCCACAAAAAAATATTCAAATGGCATAATTCTGCTATTATAAAATGATTCGCGACAACATCTACGCCAAGAGTCATCGCCGAACATTCGCGACAATATTGTGCGTGTTATTTTGTTTCTTCAAAAAAAAAAAAAAAAATCCTCTTTGCACATTTCGATAATGTTTTCAAAATTCATAGTTCATGTGTCAATTATTTTACAAGTACTTTATGTTTCACACGTTCATACGGCATTCGTCAGTCAACCTTATAATAAAAATGACCTTCAATTGAATAACTATGAGCCTGACATTGAACCTTACGATGATTCCGGACAAACGGAGAAGCCAATTTTTAATTATCGGAAAAATGGATTTCGAGTGGACGTTCGAATTGTTTCGCCATTGAATAATAATACAATTATGATGAAGGAGAGTTTAGACGATCATTTTCCCAAGTTTCCTGTCAAGGAAATTGGACTATGTATTATTGATCTTTCAATGACTTGTGTACAGAGGCGAGTCGTTCGATTTCTCGATGTGATTAAACAATTAAAGGAGATTACACTTTTTGGTCAAACGGTGAAAATGGTGAGGACTAAAGTGGCCAAACCAGTGGAAAGTAATCGAAATTTACTTCTTGATGGACTCAAGGAAAAAATTGACCGAAGTATTGACGAATTTTTCGAGACATTCGTATTACGAATTACATTGCCCAAATGGAATGGAAAAAATAATCAAATTAATCTCATGTTCGATGATACTGATGTCGAAGGTTTGAAAAAGAATTTTTTTGCTACCAAGAATTAATTAATTTAATTACAAAAACTAATTTAAATTAAATTAATTTTAATAAATTGAAATGTATTTAAATTAGAGTAGTACTTTAAGCTTATATTTAAAAATTTTCAATTTAAATTCTATTAATTATTTATCAATTATTTACTTATTAATGTTTATTTATTATAATCAATCAGTAAAATGCCCAGTAAGCTAAAATATATTTTTTTGTGGCAAAATCATAGAACTTTTTGATAGAATTGGCCAATTTTAATAAATCAAGAACCTAGGGTTTTTCAAGGTTGCTGATTACGAATCTGATATCAGTTTTCAAAAATTCAAAATGTCGAATCCAATATGTCGGTTATAATCTGTAAAATATTAACTTTATTGTAATAAATTATTAACGAAATGTTTTTGTAATTTAAATCAAAATTATACAATCTTTGAAACGAATTGCTTTGAATTAAAGTAATAATGAAAAACGATAATTGCCGATAAATTAAATAATTAGTTTATAATTAATTATTTGTCAAAAAAATTTTAAAGAGCCAATAATTATTATTAATTGAAAATTATAATTATTTTAGGACGTGGTAAGCAGAAAAAAGGTGGTGGCAAATGCAAAAAAATGATGATGTGCATGATGATGATGGTGAAGATGAAGCTAATGGGTAATTTCATTCACAATATAATCGTTAAATATTGTAAATGATTATTAACAATAAGAAATAATTTAAAATAGAAAAGAAAAATGAATTCTTCATTTTTTAAAATAATAATTTTTAAGTTAAATAATAATTTAGAATTTAAATAATAATATTTTATAATTTTAATTTTTGTAACAATTTTTATTATTCACTTTTTAAATTATCAACAGCAATGGGCGGAATGATGGCAATGAAAGGAATGCTCTTTTCCGGAATGTCAATTATGATGATAAAGGCAATGTTGATACAGAAATTGATGAGCCTCAAAGGTGGTGGTGGTGGTGGATGGAATATGGGCGGCGGTGGTTGGAATATGGGTGGAGGTGGTTGGAATAACGACGGAGGACACGGAGGAGGTAATAAATTATACAGAATAAAAATTTTAAAAAGAATCTAATGTGAATTTACATATAAAAAATTTTAATAGAAAATGTGAAAAGAATGAAAATAATTATTATTTTTAAATTATAGGTCAATATAAGGAAGTAGTTTTATTAACAAAAAGTAACAGCGATGGAGGTGGTGGCTGTGGAGGTGGAGGACATGGAAGTAGTTGTTCATCACACGGGCAGGATAGTTATTCTGCCCCACCATCAAGTAGTTATGGAGCACCATCATCTGGAGGTGGATATTCATCTGGAGGTGGTGGTGGTTGGGGCCGAAGTTTCAATAACAATCCACTAGCCATAAATTTCAATAATCCACAACAATTAAATAACGAACCTTTAATTGGCAAATCATTAAACAATTACATTTACAATATAAATACAAATAACACCGATAAAGATGATGAGTATGTTAATTTGAACTCTTCTTTTGTTAAGAATGAGGAAAAAAATATGATTACCTCCAACAATAGTAAGATTTTTAAAGAAAATCATCAAAATGACAATTTAAATTTTAAAACTATTAAAAATAATCATCGTGAGACATTTAATGAAAATACACAAAATAATACATTAAATTTTAAAAATCTTCAACCCGTTTATGTTAAGGATTGGAGGAATTATAATTCTTCGACTATTCGAAATATTTTGTATCCAAATGCTTTGAGTACTCGGGAAAAGAAGACGAAAATTTAAATTGTAAATAATTATTTAGTTTTGTAGTATTTAATTCTAATTTATTTATTTAACTTTTATTTATTTATTTTATTTAAATGTATTATGTTTATTAAATTTAAATTTATCTATTTTTATATTAATTTCTAACTTTATTATTTGACGCAGTGTATATATAAATTAAACTCCAAGTACGCTTCAAATATGTTTCATTGGGAATATTGAATTATCCACAATTATGTTACATGTTAGCTGGGAATGAATAAATTATACTTTCTAAAAATACTTACTTAATTTATTAATTTATAGCATTTTTCATCCCCTATAAAGATATCTGAAGAATATGTTAACAAAACTTTATTTTACACATTTGATCAAAAATTCGAAAAAAAACAACCCACGAATAAATAAAGTAACCGAATTGAGATTATTTTTTCAATTGAGCTGCCGGATCAAAGAAGGGCACATAACTAATGTATTTTAAATGGGTTATGTGCCCTTCTTTGATCCGGCAGCTCAATTTATCCTCAAAAATGAAAAATCTTAAAAATTAAGTTTAAAAATTAAATAAAAAATATTTTAAATTTAAAAAATTTAAATTTGATTCATTTAAAAAAATCAAAACTTAAAAATTTAAAATATTTAATGTTTTAATTATTAGAAATTATTTAATTAATAATATAAATTTTTATTTAAAAATACTAAATTTTTTACTGCCACCTCGAGGAATAAGTGCGAACTGGAAAGTAAAAGGATCTTTACAAATTTTCTCTTCACGAAGTTTTAATATCGACAGAGTGAAATCATCAAGAGGTAACCTTGAAGAGGAATGGTAAGACAGTCATCGACTGAAGATCATAGAACAAGAAACTTAAAACCTTCACCGAGTTCCATATAGGAGAACCAAGACATTTCTAATAAAAGAATTGTCTGAAGAGGAACCTTTGAATTCGAAGCGAATTCACGACAAATAACGGTGTTTTGTCTGACACTCGAAAGACTTGTATAAATTTTTATTTTTTCATATATATTGCCTTACTTGACTTATGAATATATGTGACATAACTCTTGTTGAGCTACATCCGATAAGCAAAATGAATGCTTTAAAATTTGAACTAATTGGATTTGAACTAAAAACTAATTTCTAAACAAATCTTTTCATTAGGATAAAAAATGTTTTTATATAGCTATAGACTTTTTACTACATTAAGCTATGTCTAAAAATTTTCTATTAACATCAACAATTTTTACTTTAATTTTTAACTCTAAATAAATATTACTTTTCATATTATATTCTGATCCTATTATAAAAAGGTCATACCCGTAACGAGTTAATATGATTTGAAAAAAGTATTTTTTAGTTAAAAAAATGGTATTCGATGAAATAAATAAGAAGAAAATTATTCAGTTCGTTCTTGAAGCAAGAAGAAAGGATTTTTTCAATTTCAAGGAAAACAACCTTCCAATAAAATGATTTTAAACTTATTTTTCAGTTAGTATGATATAAAAAAAAGTATTTTTCACTTAAAAGAAATGGTATTGAATGAAATAAATGAGAAAGAAATTATTTAGTTCCTTTTTGAAACAAGGAAAAAGGATTTTTTCATTTTCCAGGAAAACATTCTATTCCAAAAAATGGAATGAAATTGATTATTCTTAGTCTACCGCAATTTAGGTCCAATTGGAAGGTTTTTTTTTGAAGGTTATAAGTGTTGTCTGTAGGTAAAAAAATAATAGAGACATGCTGATTTAATTTATTTGAATTTGTAAGGAATTTTTTTATTTTCCAGGAAAACATTCTATTAAAAAAAAATTGAATAAAATTTACTATTCTTCGTCTACTGCAATTTAGGTTCAATTGGTAGGTTTTTTTGAAGGTTATAAGTGTTGTTTGAAGGTAAAAAAAATAATAGAGACATGCTGATTATTTTTATTTGAATTTGTAAGAAATTTTTTCATTTTCCAGGAAAACATTCTATTCAAAAAAATGAAATGAAATTGATTATTCTTAGTCTACCGTGGATGTCCCAGTTACCGTCCACCTAAGACCTAGTTTCCGTCCAGTTTAATTTTCAAAATAACATTTATAAAAAAATTATTTTCTTTTATTTGTTTACTTAAACTAATAAGTCGATTGCGTGCCAAAAGGAATAAATTATTGTTAAAAAATAATTTAAATTACTATACGAGATATTTGTAAAATGGACGGAAACTGGGACATGGACGGTAACTGGTACATCCACGGTACTGCAATTCAGGTCCAATTGGTAGGTTTTTTTGAAGGTTATAAGTGTTGTTTAAAGGTAAAAAAATAATAGAGACATGCTGATTTATTTTATTTGAATTTGTAAGGAATTTTTTCATTTTCCAGGAAAACATTCTATTCAAAAAAAATTGAATAAAATTTACTATTCTTCGTCTACTGCAATTTAGGTTCAATTGGTAGGTTGTTTTGAAGGTTATAAGTGTTGTTTGAAGGTAAAAATATAATAGAGACATGCTGATTAATTTTATTTGAATTTGTAAGAAATTTTTTCATTTTCCAGGAAAACATTCTATTCAAAAAAATGAAATGAAATTGATTATTCTTAGTCTACTGCAATTTAGGTCCAATTGGTAGGTTTTTTTGAATTTTATAAGTGTTGTTTGAAGGTAAAAATATAATAGAGACATGCTGATTAATTTTATTTGAATTTGTAAGAAATTTTTTCATTTTCCAGGAAAACATTCTATTCAAAAAAATGGAATGTAATTTATTATGCTCAGTCTACTGCAATTTAGGTCCAATTAGTGGGTTTTTTTTGAAGGTTTTAAGTGTTGTTTGAAGGTAAAAAAATAATAGAGACATGCAGTTTATTTGTATTTGAATTTTAAAGGAATTGTTTCATTTTCCAGGAAAACATTCTATTCAAAAAAATGGAATGAAATTGATTATTCTTAGTCTACTGCAATTTAGGTCCAATTGGTAGGTTTTTTTGAAGGTTATAAGTGTTGTTTGAAGGTAAAAAAATAATAGAGACACGCAGATTAATTTTATTTGAATTTTTAAGAAATTTTTTTATTTTCCAGGAAAACATTCTATTCCAAAGAATGAAATGAAATTGATTATTTTTAGTCTACAATTTTAATTATTATTTATAATAAAATTAATTTATCCTGGTCTTTCGAAAAATGGCCTACATATAAGCAATTCGTGTATTTTTCTTTACTTGTGACAACCAACTTAAACATTGTTTAAAAAATGTTTTAAACGCAAAATTTTGAATTTTCCGCACGTAACAGTCAGAGTCTATGTTATTCTGAACATTCTTCAAAAGGTTTTTTTAAAAAAGATTAAAAATTGTGCTTTTCACATACCTGAGAAGTTTGCGTGTTATGCGCCATGATTTGTGACGTCACGAAGGTTCAAATGCTCTTAAGGTTTGGCAGGGGGTTAGAAAAATTATTAGGTTCCATTGCATTGGGGGAAACGACATTAGGAGGTTCATTTTGATGGATTTTTGTAAAAGAATTAATTATAATTCAATAAAATTTCGACAACATTTTGTTGCTGTTTTGATCAATGTGTTTGAATTTCTTTGACGCATTTTAATGAAAAATACGGCAGTTATGCAGTGATGTTCATTGTTGGTTCTGATATATGTTTTCTCCACTTGCGGATATTTTTAATAAAAAATGATCGAAAACTAGAAATTTAAAGAAGTTAACAATAAAAAATGCTTTTCGATTAATCTGCAACTCCAACCTCATATAGCAATCAATTTTCTTCTTCTTATTAGGGTCCTGCTACTGTTCCTAATGCTACTGCTTTATCTAATTAAAAATAAAATTTTTCTTTTAAAATATCAACAACTTAAAAAAGAATCGCGGAATAATTTATTAATACCTATTTTGAGTTATAATTATATATACCTTTAAAATGTGACCCATATCTGTCAAAATTTTGATTTCTTGCGTTTTTGTGTGTATAGCAAACATTGTCCTATTTTCGTTAATGTGTTCTCGCTGGATCATTCAAGTCGTTGACCATTCACCGTTAATCGATCTGACTCCGGTACTATAAACATATGATGATATACCATCGTACAAACTTGACCCAAACGGAAAAATCAGGTGAAAGTTTTCGAATTCACGTATGTATATATACATTAAAATATTATGCTATTCCAGAAATCGGTACTCGACTGCTAATGCGAAATCAGTTCACTTTCTTATAATCTAATATAAGAATCGATAAGAAACAAGTATAATAAGAGAGACAACTGTAAATAAACAAGATGAAGAAAATTGCCTTGAATTTCTGCTATATTGCCAAGGACCGATATAATTTTATAACTCGTGAGATTTTATCACTTGTAATTATGGTTTCAATTGGTGAGGTATTAGCCAGAACGAGATTTGATTATTATGATCATTAGGTCATAAAAGTCTGAAACACTTTTCTTATTACACATCTTTTGATGAAAGTCGTCGTAAACAATAACTTCATTGTAAGAATAACTTTCATTAGATAAACTGCATTTTTACTTATAAAAAATCACATTAAATCACTTAATGCTGACAGTAAAGTTTCTACTTGTTGACAAAGATTTATTTATACAAAAAAAAGATTAGGTACCAATTTTTAAAAAAAAATTTCTTATTAGTTAACTATTACAAAGAATATATATTTCCCTGTTTAAAAAAAAGCAAAAAATAATTTTTCCTAAAAAATTTATTTTATTCAATATTGATGACCTGAAGAATGCGACACTTCAACTTAATAAGGAAATTTATAGAGTAAGGATTTTCCCTTCCGGAATGTTTAACCTTCACTTGACAAGATGCCCACCCAGGGTGGGCCAGACAAATTGAAATTGCCATATCTTCTAAAGTTTTGCCTTAATTGAATCGCGATTTTAAGTCACTGAACAAAATCTTAAGAACTTTCAAAAAATGTAAAAACAAATTTTTAAAAAAAATTTCTTCTTGATTATTTATAACTTTTATCAATGTATGTACGGAGATAACCGGGATGATTCAGATATTTTTTTAATTCTATTTTACAAAAAGACTTGAAATCATGCAGACTTTTCACTGTGAGTGTTTTATGATGTCAAATAATAGATATAAAAAATATTATATTGCATTTTTCATTTGTTTAAACAATT